AGAAAGGAAAGAAAACTCAGCAGACCTAGTAATTATTTTACTTTTTGACAAAATAAGTTTAAATAAGCTGACGTTTATTGTGCAGTATTGTGCGGTTGCAGAAGAGCTCCCTCCAGGAAGTCTGCTTCTGAATCCTATTATCACTCTTTTCCTGTTTGCTTTATCCTTTTCCTAAATTTAGGTTAATCTATGAGATTTATTGTTAAGAAATATCTATCTATATATTTTTTAACAAACTTGCTGTCTTTTATTAAGGATTGTTCTCCACAAATTACCACTTAAAACAAGTAATCAGTGTTCTTCCCCTTTTTGGTGCATTGCATATAAAATCCAACCACAAACTTGAACAAACTAGACAAGGGAAAAAATATTGATACATTAAAATATCACAATATCTTCATATGCTGATATATTGCCATTTAAAAACACCATATCAATGTCTTTTACTAATGAAATATTGCTATATGTCATCGGTATGCTACGAAATCCCCCGAAAATCCACAAAATTTTGCCATATTTTTATATGTTGATATATTGACGCGGTATCGATCTATTTTACTAACAAAATCTCACGAGAATTTGTAACAGAACGATCAAATTTCACGAGATTTTGAAAGTAAAATAGATCGATACCGCGTTTTTAAAAATCAATTTGATATCAGCATATGAAAATATATTTGAGTATATTATTTTTCAAAGTGTCAGAAATGGATAACAAAACTGCTATTTTCAATGACTACTTATATTTGTCCAGCTTAATCATCGGTATCAATATCGGTTATCGACTACATGAGTTTTAAAATATCGGCATATCGGATATCGGCCAAAATCCCAATATCGTGCATCCCTAGTTTAAGCAGGTCTTTCATCGCTAATTCTGCATTCAGATGTAACCTTAAGATGTCATACTTTAGTCCAAGTTTCTAAAAAGTGCTGGATGATAATATTAACTACCATTGACAACATGATCTATTGTTGATTTAGAAAAAAAAATATGAATTGGAAAAACATTAAAGTTATACTTGTTTTTTTATTAAAGATTTTGTCATTTGAGCAAAAAATTTTGTCAACCCATATTCTTTTTTTTATTTACAGATTGAATTTAACGTATTGGATTTGATAAACAGTTATTAGAATATAAAAAGATGGTTCTTTGCAAAAGTATTCACTTTATGTTTGTTTTGTTGGGAGCAACATTAAAGCTACTAAACTAGGTGAGGTGAAAAAACAATAATACAGATCACCCTGGGCACGTCATCCCCAGCATGATGCACGGTGGTGGCAGTAGTTTACCAAGGGGGTGATTTTCTTCAGCAGTGTAAGGCCCGCTGCTGAGAATTGGTTAAAAAACAGATGAAACTACACAGGCTGTTAAATTCATGTTTTCATGAAATGAAGATTCATGAAAACATGATGAATGAAGATTCTTCTATGATGATGAATGAAGATTTTTCTATAAAAACATGTGTGGTCAGTTTTTTAACTTTTAAAACTTAATGATATTTGAAATAGTTTATAATACTCCTTACAAGAGAAGTGGGAGCAGGAATAATTCGTTAAAACAGAACTTTCTGGAGGAAGAGCGGGCCGCCTGGTCCGTGGTTTTGGCTGGGGCTGGCTGCGGGGCCTAGGTGGCCTGCTGGTGGCGGGGGCTGTCACCTCTGCTCTCCCCAAAGAAGGTTGGATGGAGGGGCATGAAGTGCCTGGTTGAAGGTTTTTTTTTTTTTTTTTTTTTTTTTTTTTTTTCTTCTTTCTGTTCGGGGGGGGGGCGGTTCTGGTTGGGTGGCCGGCGCGGGATGGGTGGGGGCTCTTGCTGGGGGTGGTCCGGTCCGTGTGCGGGGTGGGGGGCCGGGCTTGAAGCAGGAAAGAGATGGGTTGGTGTGGCGGTGTCGCCGCTCCCCTCCCCTCACATCCGGATTTTAGGTTCACTTATGGGGTCATCCGATAGTCCCGGGACCGACCACCGGTGTCACCGGGTTTTTGGTCCTGGTATTATTGGATGTGAGTGTTATGTGTGAATGTGTGTCCGCGTTGTTATTTTCTTTATTTATTATTATTATTATTTTATTCAATTTTTTTTTTTTTCCCAGGTTGGGGTCTCAACCGCACCCTCTCCCAAATACATCTCAAGTCTCCGCTAAGTGCGGAGCCCATTCCCCCCGTCCTGCTCTCCCTCCGCTGGCTGGCGTCGGGGCTCACCGGTGCACTGGTGGAGCTGGGGGTGGATCCCCGGGGGACTGCTGGCTCATTCCTGGCGGCCTCTCCGCTGGCCCCGGCCGGCCGGGGCTTTTCTGGGGCTCCTGTCTGGGGATCGGGTGCCCTTGGGGCCTCGGATCCCTGGGGCCTGGGACTGGATCCGCTTCGGGGTGGGGCTGGGTGTTGTTCTGGGATTTTCGGGGTCGGTGCCGGTGCCTTCGCTACGATGCCGGTTCCTGGGCGGTGTTTCTTTCCTATGCCGGTTCTGTGGTACCGGTTCGGGGGGGGGGCTGCACGGCATGGTGGGGTGCGGGTCTTGGGTCCTGTTTTGGGCTCCGGTTTTTCCGCTCGCACTTCTCCTCTTGCCTATTTATTTTAATTGTAATAATTAATTAATTAATTTACCTATTTATTTATGTTTTTTTTTCTCTTCCTCGGTGGGGGGGAGCGGTTGCGGGCGGGTCGGTGTCTGGTGTCCGCTGTCGCATTGTGGGGGCATTGTTTTTTTTTGTTTTTTTTTTTTTTGTTTTTTTTTTTCTTCCTTTGGGGGGTTTGGCATGTCTGTTTTCTCGGGGGGCGGGCGGGCCTGCTGGGTGGGGGTCCTGCTGGCGGCGCGCCGCTGGTGTGTGGGGGTCCGGGCGGCTCCGGCGGGGGTAGTGTTGGGGGGCCGATCTGGGCGGGCTGGCTGCGCTGGCTAGGTATTCGGGTGGGTTTTCCCTCCTGGAGGCATGGCGGGGCTGCTCTGTTCCTGCTGATCGCGGCGGGTGGGGCTGCGGGGCGGGTGGGGGCCTGGAGTGGCTATGGCCGGCGCGTGGTGGGGGGCCGGGGCGGCGGAGCTGCTCTGGCAGCGTGTCAGGGCCTGGTGCGGGCGGCGGGGGGGGGCGGCGGACGTGGCTGGGCTGCTTTGGCTTCGTCCGGTGGGGGGGCGGCGCGGTTCGCTCCGCTCTGGCTTTGTGCTGCCCCTCGGGCTGCTGGGGGGGGGTGGTTGCGCCGGCTGCGGTCTGCTCTTCTTGCGGTTTTGCGCCGGGCGGCTTTTCTGCTCTCGGGCTGATTCTGTGCGCGGTGTGTTTCGTTGCGCGCTGTTGGCATCGGTCTTGGTGGGGGGGGGCTGCGCTTTTGGCCGGGGGGGGCGTTTGGGGGGGGTCCCGCGGCGCTCGCGGCCGGTTCGCGGCGGATGCGCATGGGCCCCGGCCGGGGGCGGGGCCGCCTGAGTGTTTTCCTGGGTGGTGCGGTCGCGGTGGGTGTTGCGGCCGGTCGCCGGGGCTTGGTGCTGGGGGGCGGGGCGTGTTTCGGTGCTCTGTGGGGCTGGGGCGTTTCGGTCGGCGCCGTGGGGGGGCTGGTGTTCGGTGCCCGGCCCTACTTCGGGGTGGCCGGCTGCCGGCGGGGCCCGCGGACTCGTCCCCGCGGCTCCCCGGGGCGCCGGCATGGCGGTGGCTGGGGGGCTTCTTCGTGGCTGTCTCTCCTCCTGCCTTGGTGGGGTCTGGTTTCCGGAGCTGGCCCCGCCTTGGTGCCTTCGCTTCTGGGGTCCCCTTGGGCGCCTGGGGCTTTGGGTCTCCCGGCGCTGGACTCAGTGCTCTGGGGGGTGTGCCTCTCCGGCTCTCCACAACCACTATTGAGCATTTTTTCTATGGTTAAAACTTTACATGCACAAGTTCACCCTCACAAACAACTACAGGTGCTAGGCTTCAGGTACTTAGAGATTCACTTCCAAACAGAAACCCCACATTCATATCTTCAGGTAACACAGAGTACATGTCAGACTTAATAATATTACTTTAGCGATAGTTTCAAGGTGTTTGCTTTATTGTATATCTCGTACCATGTTTTTTGGTTGTGCTGTTCTTTTTTTTTTTTTTTTTTTCCATCTCATTACAGGTGTTGAAGCAGACTGAAAATGTTTTGTCATTGTCTCCTTCCTATCTCCTCTTTCTTTCATCTTTTGTCCTGTTTTTTTCTTTTTCCTTCTTCTTCTTCTGTTTTTCTGCTCTACTTACATTGCAGTGTCCATATGAACTGTAAAACTCCCTGCATAATTATAATAAAGCAATTTATATACATGAAACAAGTGGAGCAGTATGGCAATTGCCATACCGCTACACTTCTGAAAGTAAAATCTGTTGGGCTCCTTTTGGCATCAAGACAATTATTCTTATTGCCACCTTGCCAGACAGGACACTGTAAAAAAAAAAAAAACAGAACTTTCTCCTTAGCTCAGAGCTGAGATCGTTTATCTTCTTCAAAACTCATAGATCTTAGAAACAGAAAAGATTTTTTGCAAAAGGTTGATATGGAGCTAAGACATGATTACTAATCCCCCACTTTGAATAAAAGTGTCCACCAGCTGCGGTCATGTTGGTTTTACCCCTGCTTTCATACATTTAATCATAAGATATTTTACTCTGTTGTCTGGGGGGAAATTAGCCTACATATGGTACCATGTGATACTATGAGAGAATTGTTCCTGTGGGCTTATGGCTTCAGCTTAGTGAACACGTTGGACTGCCTCTGGGTGCATGTTGTAATAACTCTGTTAGAATGGTAATGGAATTGATTTTTGAGAAAACATAAATGTTGCATGACATCAAGAGCCACCTGTTAGTGTGCTATAACCAACAGGAGGTGTTAGGAAAGATAGTATCATGCTATTCCATTTTTGTTATCAGGGTTTTTTGTTTTGTTTTCTTGTTTTTTAATTTAACACCAGTCGAAAGGGATTTTCATCAAGACTGCATCTCCGTGCAACTTTCAGATATTGGCTTTTAATACTTTACTGTGTGTGTTTGTTTTGTGTGTCTCTCTATCAGGTCTGTACAACTCTGCAGACAGCTGGATGATTGTACCAAACATCAAGCAGAACCACTACACAGTTCACGGCTTGCAGAGCGGCACCCGTTACATCTTTTTCGTCAAGGCTATTAACCAGGCGGGAAGCCGCAACAGTGAGCCGGCCCGCCTCAAAACAAACAGTAAGTCGAGGTCCATGTGACACTCCCTAAGGTTTTCCATTAACTCTGGGCAATTTCTTTCATTTGCCAAATATTAGCAATTAAACAAGCACAGTTTTTAAATCGTAGTGGCACTCAATATTAGTTGTGTTACAATAACATATGATATGAAAAAGTTTGGGCACACCTATTAATCTTAACTATTTTTATTTCTAAATATTTGTGTATCATTCCGTTATTAGATATATCAAACTGAAATACCTGTTGCAAACACCCAAATGTTTAGAAATAAAAATAATTAAGATTAATAGGGGTGCCCAAACTTTTTCATTTGACTGTAAAATGTGTAATACACTTAATATCTCACTCCAGCACATTAGGTGGCGGTAATACACTTAAAGTGGGTTTGCTGCCACACAGAAGGCTAGAACTCAGATCCATGCTTTCAAGTAGAATTAAAGTACTTTCTTACACAGAGATTACAGTAAAGTCCTGCAACACTGGACTCTGGGAAAAAAAAGCTTTCAATATCAATAAAATCTGAAACTGTGAAGTGAAACATCAACATGCTTGTGGTTAGTGCAAGGGAAAATTAAATATTGATTAGTTAAATATTGCCAACATTTTTCTGGCCTGTTTTCTCTGAGCAATTACAGTTGTTGTTGGGTTTTCTTTTGGGCTAAAAATCCCTCAGAAAAATCACTTCTGTCTGTCATTTTTGTTTATTAGCCTTTCTGATGCTACAAGCGTTTCACAGACATTTCTATTTGATTAATAATAGCGCTTTCCTGTGTAGGGAAGTAGAAGTTGCCATTAAGGAGGGACATTTGTCAAGGTTGATATATTTATAGATGGCAGTAAAGTTTGTAATGTTTGGGACTGTTTAACAGCCAGTATTTTAGCTATACCTTTCTTAGAATCATAACTGGGTGTGAATTTTGTAAATGTTTCCATCTGCCAAGTGATATTTTAGTAGCAGAAATAGCCAGAAAATCTCTGTTTGGGGGAACTATACCAACTCCATTTTGGTGTTAAATATTGGTATTGGCCATTTGTGGTTAGTTTGTGGCAAACAAGCTAAGACCAAATATTCCGCACATAACATGATAATATTTGTATGTTTTTCTGTAACTCACCCATCTTCTTAGTGATATCAGTTTGTATTTTTCCTATCACGCCACTGCATATTGCAAGATTAAAACATAAAGTCTGTATTATATAAAAAAAAAACTTCTGTGTTTTAGTACTGAATTGGACAGAGCTATCTTTGCAGACTCTGGTACTTGTTTTTATCAGAACATAACATGGAGTACTTATTTTCTATCCAAAGTAAATATTTTTATCGAGGTAGGTGGCGCCCCCAGTCTAAGTTAAAGATCTGTCTTTGTTCTTTTGTTTCTCTTTTCTTTTCTGCCCAAAGCTATTTTGCTTGCTGTGGAAATATAATATATTTGCATTGAACCTCTTCTTTTTACTTTGCTCTGCATCCGCCTCTTGTTATTATTTTTTAGTATGGTGATCTTAAGAGCCAAAGGAGGCAAAAGAAAAAAAACTCAGTAATACATCTGTTTGGATTCAGAAATCCTGGAAGACACTTGTTAGGTGTAGTACAGAGCAAAAAGTGATTATGCATGTCTAATGTGCGAGAAAATCATCACCTTTTTTCTTCAGTTCATAGATTTTTATTAAGAATCAGGTATGGCAAGATACAAATTAAAGGAACTAAATCATGCAAGATCAACTATTTTATTTGTAACTTTAATGTAATAATATTCTTTCATTACAATAATACCCAAAGTGGTATATCATTTGATTCATTTATTCATGGAAAACAAGTGTCCATTACAGTTTCACATAGAGCAGTGCCTCTCGCCCCTTCCAGGGGACACCTAGCTTGACCGTGCTGCACGAGATCAATAAACGCCTCGCCTCCTTTCTCCTATCAGTGAGCAGTGATGTAAAGCAGAGAATGATCAGTTCTGCTCTCTGGAAATATCCCATAGAACCAGAGCAGTATCTGGACATATACATACCTATAGCTGACTTTTGAGGGCTTAAAACAGCATGATATAGAACCTTTAAAAAGACAAATTAACAAGAAGTTGTTAAAAAAAAAAAATAATAATAATAACAACAAATAAATAAAAATGGAAAGTCAATTTTACACATTGCATGCATATTAATCCAATATCAGGGGAAATTCATGGTCAATGACAAGGTATAGTCATAATTTCACCACCATGCCTGTATATTTGGGTGCTTAAACTAAGTTTAGTGCATATTGGCAAAAAATCTGTTTTTTATCTGATCTATCCAAGGGACATTAAGGTGTTTAGCAAAGGTATTAAAAAGGGAAGCTCTACTTATATTATGTTTCAGAGCATATAATCTTTCTCATTGCAACATATCTTTACAGCCATAGTTTGGTCAAAAGGTTTGCTGCTCTGAATGGAACAGTAAAATTTGTAATATTTATTTCTTATGGTATTAGACAGTTGGAAAACATTCAATATCTCACTAAAATGTTAAAAAAAAATAACACATTTTTATACTGTATTTTCCTGAGGAAGATATGTATACTTAATAAATGTTTGTTAGGTTTTTAGCATTTTATGACTTTACATAAAGAATCTGTCTGGGAAGAAAAGTGATTAAGGAAAGGTATAAAAATGCCCTTAAATCACAAAAAAAACAAAACAATGTTATATTAACAACAATAAATTCAAGTTATATCATAGAGGATGTGTGTAATGTCAGTACTAATATGGTACAGTGCTGATGGATAATTCCCACCTCCTCTGGCAGTCAGTGCTGTGAAGGGAAAGCTTGTCCACCCACCGCCAGCGCCGATCGAGATTATGAGCCTGTGATTGTCAAGCAGCTTTTTTTTTTTTTCCCAAAGCTGTGATGATTTAGACAAGCCTTCAAAATACCAGCAAAAAACACACGTATTTTTATGCACAAGACTTTAGCGTTTGTCTCCATCTCTCTGCGTGTTTTTGTCCTATCTCTCCCTTTCCACACTCAGATTAAACAGCTTTAGTGTCCTCTGTTTGTCTAAAAGCAGAGTTTTGATTAAAACTTGTCCCAGTTCACCAAGGTCACAAACATTTCTCATATAAATTGCTGCCTTACAGGCACTGCTTTAATAGCAGGTTTCTTTTCTATCATCTTGTCTGCGGCTTGATTTGAAGGATGTGCTGCCTTAAGAAGCCTTCAGCCAAAGTTCCTTATTATTAAGCTAAAAAGATGCAAAGCAAATAACATTATGGTATGAAGCAGTGCTAGACCATGAAACGCCCCGTATCATTACAGTCCAGTTGTTTATGGTTAACTCAGAGGACGTTAAAATGATGAAGTGGTGTGCTAAAAACATATCTGCAAGGCAAACAGAGTTATAATGCATCCATAAAGTTAGCACCTGATATGATATATTAGTACAGCAAAAAAATTCTCAAAAGATATAAATTTAGACATTACCTGGCTTTATTTTTTTTCTTTGAAATTATTCCTCTTTCAAGGACAGCATATTAATAGAATTAATTTATTTATCTGTACAGCACTTTGGTTAGCTTTGGTTGTTTTTAAGTGCTTAACAAATACAATTGGATTTAATTTGATCATGTTCTTTGATTTCTCTGGTACATTTAAAGTGATTCAGCCTGATCGGAAAGTCCAGACGATTTACCATACCATACCAACTTTATTTATGAAGCCCTTTATGCACTGGACAGGACCAAAGTGCTGTACACAATCATAAAATACAATAAAATTATAAAATAAAAATAAAAAAAAAACGAGTGTAAAATACAAATTAGTATACAAAGAGAATAAAACAAAGTAAAACCTCTCAAAGTGTGCCAAAAGCCAAGGAAAATATTTAGGTGGAAAAACTTCCACAACTAACCATTACAAATGGCTGGACCTGTTTTTTATGTTCAATTTGCATGTTTTCTAAGCCATAACAAGGCTTTTCTTTTGGCCACTCTATAAAACCTGGATCTCTACACTACTCCAGACATTCTTTCTGGATGGGAAGCAAAATGTCTTCAAACTTGGAAAACAAAGTCTAGTGGATTGTTTTTTTTATTTTTTTAGAATCTTCATACTAAGAATTTTCTGGCAGCTCTTTACTGATGCTCAAAATCAACACATACATTATAACATGGAAAAAAAAACAGATAATTAGATTTCCAGGTGATGACTCCTCTGAGCTGTTGTGGGGAGTGTGATCTCTTCTGCCATCTTGTTGGGGTATCATCTTCAGAGCATACGACTTAATCAAGCTCGACAAGTTAATAAAGAAAGACGGCTCTGTTCTGTCGGCTCCTCTAGAACCCTTTAGAGATGATTTTACATTTTCATATAATGAAAAACCTGGACAATCCTGAGCAACCTCTTCTGAAGACTCTTAAACAACAACAACACAATCCAGATCCGCTGCAAGGCAGACGAATACAGGGGATCCTTGTTGTCTAAAGATAATAGAATTATTTATAGAGATTATTTTTCAACAGCTTTAAAATAACATTTAATTTCCCTTTGATATTAATAAAGTATTTTTTATTGCTTTGGATTTAATTTAATTACTCTTCAATCACGCAATTGAAAACATTCCAATTAAAGCCCCATTTTAAAATGTAAGTGAATAGAATGAACACACAGGTCTTTTCTACCAAAATAGATCACATGTTCAACCAGAGCTTCAAACAGTTTAATTGAAAAGACAGTTTTATCAGACAGACAGACTAAATTAAGGTATGTAAATAATTTTACATACCTTAATTTAGTCTGTGTAAAGATATTTTTTTCAGCCAACAATTTACAGACAATCTAGTTAAAATTGGACCAAACAGGATTTAGGGTTGTCATATGCGCATGTTTTATACAATTGAATTACACTTAGGGCAGGTGCTCCAATTAACAAGAGGTGTTGCTGTTGCAAAAACACAACCAGAATTGAGGAAGAGGACTTAGAAAGGAAGTCCTCTCCTCATCCACAAATACCTTTTTATGTTATT